GGGCACCTCTTGCAATACTAAGGCAGACAAAGACGGGCACCCCTTGCAACACTAAGACAAACAAGGACGGGCACCTCTTGTAACACTACGGCAGACGAAGACGGGCACCTCTTGAAACACTAAGGCAGACAAGGACGTTCACCGCTTGCAATACTAAGGCAGACAAAGACGGGCACCTCTTGAAACACTAAGGCAGACAAGGACGGGCACCTCTTGCAATACCAAGGTAGAAAAAGACGGGCACCTCTTGCAATACTAAAGCAGACAAGGACGGGCACCTCTTGCAATACCAAGGAAGACAAAGACGGGCACCTCTTGCAATACTAAAGCAGACAAGGACGGGCACCTCTTGCAATACTAAGGCAGACAAGTACGGGCACATCTTGCAATCCTAAAGCAGACAAGGACGGGTACATCTTGCAATACTAAGGCGGACCAGGAAGGTCATCTTTGCCATTTGAGGCGGACAAGGACGGGCCTTTGTTAAAATACGAATGCGGACAAGAACAGGTAAACGTTGCAATAATGAGTTTGACAAGGACTGGCATCTGCCGCAATACTAAGCCAGAAAAAGACGGGCACCTCTTGCAATACTAAGGCAGACAAAGACGGGCACCTGCCGCAATGCTGAGGACGATGACAGACACTTTTTGAATACTGAGGTGGACAAGAACGGCAACTGACTTGCCATCCCGCCAGACACAATCCGACAGTGCTCGGAGACAGCTGCACAACTCACGTTCGACAAGGGAGACAGATAGCTAAATTGAATTGTGCTGTTTGCGTGTGTTGTGATTATTTGTTGCGAGCAAATGCCACTCAGTATCGGTATCTGGTATCATGGTTTTTATCCACCATGACAGTTCACATGTATAAATGCATAGGATATCGACTGCTGACTATAAATATTGGATAATGCGGGATGAGAAGCAGATTCGAAATGTAAGATGCAGTGCCTTGCGATCAAATTCCCTCGATCTGTCAGATGTTTGATTCAATCTGTTTTACTGTTGTTGAGAATCTATAGTTGGTAAACGCCTCTGGTTCACTAGTATATCTGGATGTGGTAAAGTATATCTAGCTCACTGCTTAAACATATTCTGGCTAACCCTTGGCTAAGTATTCTGTTCCTAGCTTATCAAGCGGCTAATAAAGATTGATTGGATTCTCTGCAACTGAATGCAAACATGGTAAGATAGGCTTCCATGACTGGAAAGTTTCAGTGATGGGTCTATTTGAATGTGTACATGGAAAACTGCTTTTCTGATAATTGTTTGTCTTGAAGTGCATATAATATCTTCTCCAACTATCCATCAGGTCAAAGACAACTATAAGCTGAAAGTCCTTGGCCCCTACTCATAGTATATGTCACTCCTCACATAGGGGTGGTGGAGTAGCCAAGCTCGCTCACTCACTCACTCACTCACTCATTCACTCACTCGGGGGCACGGGTGGCCCAGTAGTCTAAGGCGCCGCAATTCGCTATACAGATTTACGTCCCTTGGGCACGCCAGAAACCTATGATTGTGGGTTAGTTCCTGGTTCGAACCGATTATGTTTCTAGGTTTGTCTGCACCATACCCGTGCTCGTGGGTTTCACCGAAGTGGTAAACCTCTGAGACCTGCATCACTAAAATAATAATAATAAGTCCATCTATACTGCGCCAGATTTCATTCACCGAGTTAATGCTCATGGCGCTACATAGTTTTAGCAAGTAATGCTAATGAAAGGGGGAGTAGAGTTGATAAAGTTGTTGAGCCTGAAAGGATGAAAGCGATGGCGACAGCTTAAGATCAGGTGGTAGTTTGTCCCATAGCGAGGAAGCGCAGAACTGGAAAGATCTCTGACCAAAGGTTTTTAGACGGGGTTCCGGGTTTCCTCCCACATTAAGCTGACACGCCGTGAACATAGCCGGAATACTGTTTAAAGCGGCGTTAAACCCAACTCACTCACTCACTCACTCACTCACTCACTCACTCACTCACTCACTCACTCACTCACTCACTCACTCACTCACTCACTCACTCACTCACTCACTCACTCACTCACTCACTCCTGCTCGATACATCTTCATCATACAAGTACTGTCTGAATGAAGACACAACTTTGACTAGTGTCCGCTCCTTCCTCAAAGCTATCAGGGCACTGCGACTTCGTAAGTCTGTGTGAAAATATTTGATTTACTATCGCTTTGTGAAACGTGGCCCATGCCTATAGCGTTAGTCACCCCTACTTATATTATTCCCGTGAAAAAATAATGCTTTTGCCCTTCTGACAAAGCCAGAAAGCTGATTGTCATTTGCATACCATTGTATGAATGCCATCGTATTGACTGGAGTGCAGAGAATGTCGCGCCCTGATCCCTCTCCGTTGATCTTGTAGCAAATCAGGAGACAGCGTTCGTCACCGCCACCGACGTCAAAGTACCTATCAATGTCGCCGTCAACGCTGTAGTGCTGCTTGGGTCGCTGCATGCCGCTCACGTCGTCATTTCACCTTTTCTTCCTCCCGTGATATCAACATCTTCATTACGCCGAGAATAATTACACTCATTTGATGATTGAGCGCAGCCTGTGAAGGACGTCGTAACGCCACTCAACATGATCCCCCTTTGTAAAGAGCAGGGGGCGAAGCGCCGGGCGCGTTGATGTAAGGTGTTGGGGGATGTGTGGAGAGCTTCCGTAATCAAGGAACACCTCTGTTCTCTTGCAGGATAACCCAGACTAAAAGTGGAAGTATATAACATGTACGGTGGCCCATAAGGGACATGGAGTCTGTTTTTCAATATTTTGATATTTCACTTACTGTTATCGTAACCTTTTGCAAATTAACACGATTTGTCATACAAATATGTGATAAATCATGTATAAAGAAGATATTGAATCGCTGAAAAGTGAAGCGAAAATGTCAAAAACTGAAATGAAAATGTCAAAAACAAAAACGAAAATGTCAAAAATTAAAATGAAAATGTCAAAAACAAAAACGAAAATGTCAAAAACAAAAGCAAAAATGTCAAAAACTAAAATGAAAATGTAGAAAAATATTTCCACCGCGGTGATAATATTTCTACCGCGGTAAAAACTATTTACACCGCGGTGGGAATAGTTTCCTGTATTTTCATTTTAGTTTTTGCAATTTTCGCTTTTGTTTTTGACATTTTCGTTTTTGTTTTGACATTTTCATTTTAGTATTTGACATTTTCGCTTCACAGTTCAACGATTCAATAGCTACTTGAAAGTACATTTTCCATGTTTTCGGTTGTTTTTATACATGATTTATCACATATTTGTGTGACAAATTGTGTTAATTTGCAAAAGGTTACGATGAAAGTAAGTGAAATATCAAAATATAGACTCCATGTCCCTTATGGGCCATCGTAAACATGTGCTAAATCTCATTAGAAACGAGTAATTATATTTGAGTGACAGGAAATACGTTTATGTTTAAATTGATATTTCGGACCTTGGTCAGTGTGAATTAATGTTGTTAGAAGCCAGCGGTGTTCGAGGTGCGATGCCTATCGAGTCACAGCAGAGAGTCTGTCCGCTGACCGCCCAAGTGATCACTCATCGGAGAGCTGACCATTGTCAGCAGCCATTGTGGCCGGATCCACTTCTACTGCAAGCATTTGATACTTTGATCACTCTTTGACTCGAAATCCCCTACGAAGATCCGAGGTCGGAAAATGACGAGTGATGACTCAATGAGCTGATGTCGGTCGTGAGAAACACTCGGGACAGTCGTAAAGACAAAGAATGCTCTCTAATTCGTCCATTGTAACCACAAGTCACTATATAGAGCATGAGTAGTTTGTTTGTTTGTTTTTTGCTTGTTGGGATTTCATCGAAAAGAATAAATTGTCCCCGATCATTATTGAACAGTTGTTGAAAAAAATGCCAGCCTCACTGTTGCAAGGTGTTTATCTTTAAACTAATTTCAGGCTCGTAGATTTAAATAAATAAAACATCTGGTTTTGTAGCTGTAGCTGAACAATCTCGATTCCAAATATCTGACCCTCTCTCCCGTTCCAGAATATTTAATGGTCGGGCCTTCAAGCCCACTTGCACGTTTAGCTGTAGTGAGTGAGTGAGTGAGTGAGTGAGTGAGTCGGTGGGTTGGTGGGTGGGTGGGTGGGTGTTTGGGTTGGTGCGTGAGTGAGTGAGTGAGTGAGTGAGTGAGTGAGTGAGTGAGTGAGTGAGTGGGCGAACTGGGTTTGATTGTATAGTTAATAAAGCAGCATCGTTTTCACGGCGGGGACATCTAGGATTACCCTGAAAGCCTACGTGTGGCGAAGAACTCACATCCTTTGACTGTGTGGTTGGACTTGGTTTGTATGTTGTGGATTGTGAATGGGTGTGATGTGCTATATTAGGGTGTGGTGGATTGTGAATGGGTGTGAAGTGCTATACTGGTGGGTGGTGGATTGTGGATTGGTGTGGTGGTTTGTGAATGGGTGTGGTGTGCTATACTGGGGTGTGGTGGATTGTGGATGGGTGTGGTGGATTGTGGATGAGTGTGGCGGGTGATGCTTGAGTTAACTGCATTGTGCTATGACAGTGCTATGGGTAGGTTGAGTGATTTTTGCTGGGGTGTGGTAGTCTTGCTTGGTTAGTCCTTTTTGAAGGGAAACTAATGGATTGTCTTGGGCGTGTCGGGATCTGCTGGATGTGGTGGGTTCTCTTGTTGGGGGTTCACTGGGGGTTATGTTTGATGTAGGGTCCAGGGATGAAGTGGAGTTGTGCTGGGTGCTCAAACATGCCAGACAGTGAGATTGGGTGTGGTTAGTCCTGGATTGTGGCGCATTTGATGGATTGTGTTAAGATTTGGTGGATTGTGCTGGGAGCGGCTGATTGCACGTGGTTGTCGTGTGTCATTGGGTGTGGTGAATATTTTAGGTATGTAATTGGTTATGCCTGGATGGATCGTCCTTAGGTCTGCTTGATTGTGTTTTGGATTGTTTTGTGCTCCGGTGGGTCGAGCTATGGCGTGGGTCCCAAGATTAGGTGTGATGGATTGTGCTGGACTGTGGCTGGTTGCTTGTAGTTGGTCGAGTTGGGGGTCGTGCTGGGTTGTTGTGGATCGGGTTTGGGTGTGGCTGGTCGGGCTTGGTTGTTGTGGGTCGGGCTTGGGTGTGGTGGGTGGAGCTGGGTTGTTGTGGGTCAGGCTGGGGTGTGGTTGGTCGGGCTGGGTTGTTGTGGGTGGGGCATGGGTGTGGTGGGTCGGGCTGGGTTGTTGTGGGTCGGGCTTGAGTGTGGTGGGTGGGGCTTGGGTTGTTGTGGGTCGGGCTGAGGTGTGGTGGGTGGGGCTGGGTTGTTGTGGGTCGGGCTTGGGTGTGGTTGGTGGGGCTTGGTTGTTGTGGGTCGGGCTGGGTTGTTGTGGGTCGGGCTGGGTTGTTATGGGTCGGGCTTGGATGTCGTGGGTGGGGCTGGGTTGGTGTTGGTGGGGCTGGCGTGTGGTGTGTCAGGCTGGGTTGTTGTGGGTCGGGCTGGGTTGTTGTGGGTCGGGCTTTGGTTGTTGTTGGTGGGGCTGGGGTGTGGTGGGTCGGGCTGGGTTGTTGTTGGTCGGGCTTAGCTGTGGTGCCCGGGGCTGGGTTGTTGTGGGTCGGGCTGGGGTGTGGTGTGTCAGGCTGAGTTGTTGTGGGTCGGTCTGGGTTGTTGTGGGTCGGGCTTGGTTCTTGTGGGTGGGGCTTGGGTGTGTCGGGTCGGGATGGGTTGTTGTGGGTCGGGATGGGTTGTGGTGGGTCGGGCTGGGTTGTTGGGGGTCGGGCTGGGTTGTTGTGGGTCAAACTGTGTTGTTGTGGGTCGGGCTGGGATGTTGTGGGTCGGGCTGGGGTGTGGCGGGTCGGGATTGGTTGTTGTGGGTCGGGCTGGGGTGTGGTGGGTGGGGCTGGGTTGTTGTGGGTCGGGCTGAGTTGTTTTGGGTCGGGCTGGGTTGTTGTGGGTGGGGCTGGGTCGTTGTGGGTGGGGCTGGGTTGTGGTGGGTGGGGCTGGGTTGTGGTGGGTGGGGCTGGGTTGTTGTTGGCGGGAATGGGATATTGTGGGTCGGGCTGGGGTGTGGTGGGTCGGGCTGGGTTGTTGTGGTCGGGCTGGGGTGTGGTGGGCTGTTGTGAGGATATGGTAGAGATGTTATTGTGCTGTGGTACCATGTATTGTGCTACGGTTCGATGGATTGTACTGTTGTGCGGTGATTTGTGCTGTGGTGGCCGGGTCGTCCTGGGTGTGCTGGATTGTTGTGGGTAGTGTCATACAGTTCCAGGACTTGCTAGAACGAACTTGGATGTGTAGCGTTGGATGGATAAGGGATGTGGGTATTTAGGGACATAGTCCAGGTTCAGAGAGAACGAACTGCCATAGATGAACGAACATTCTCTCGAAAAACACGTCAACCTTCCAAGATGTAACAGCTTCCAACATTGTCACCTGAACGACGCTGCCACACGCCTCGTCCGCGAGAGTGGATTACAGAGCACCTCGACAGATGTAGCCATTCTGGTCAGCCCGTGCCATATCGAGAACTTTGATCGCCCCATTGACTGGTTAGGCCACTTATCACACATTACCTGGACTCAAGTGGCCGCAACAAGGTATAAGTAGAGGATGCCGTTATTCCTGGCGGGGCCGGGCTCGAAATAGACCGTCAGGTAACCTATTCACCGGTGGAGACACCACAAACTTGCGGGGGTGGGGATTGCAGGCGACAAGTCAACGGCAATACACTGCAGTGTGAGGAGGTATTGTTGAGGTGAGGTTGAGAGCGGGTGGTGTTATTTTGGGTATGAGGGAGATGGGATCTCTGTGGGGATGGGGGTGGTTTGAGTTTGTGAGTGAGATGATGGCGGATGGGGTTATTGGAAATGAGGGGGAGTGGGGATCAAGACCGGTGAGGTTATTGTGGGAATGACGACGGGTGCGGATGAAGATGGGTGGGTTTATTCTGGGGATGAGGGCGGATGGGGTTATTGTGAGGATGAAGACGGGTGGGTTATTCTGGGGAGTAAGACGAGTGGGGTTATTGTGAGAATGATGACTGGTGGGGTTATTGTGAGGAGGAAGACGAGTGGAGTTATTGTGAGGAGGAAGACGGGTGGGGTTCAGGAGGGAGACGGTTATTGTGGGTGGAGTGACTATTGTCGAGAGTGTGGACGGGGTTGGTTATTGTTGGGTGAGGGTGGGTGTGGTTAATTCGTCGGTATGGGTTGGTGTGGTTATTGTTGGCTGAGGGTTTGTGTGTTTATGGTCGGGTGTGTGTGTGTGTGTGGTTATTGTTGGCTGAGGGTGTGTGTGTTTTCTGTCGGGTGTGTGTGTAGGTGTGGTTATTGTTGGCTGAGGGTGTGTGTGTTTACTGTCGGGTGTGTGGGTGGGTGTGGTTATTGTCGGGTGTGTGTGGTTATTGTTGGCTAAGGGTGGGTCTGGTTATTGTCGGGGGAGGTGCGTGGGTGTGGTTATTGTTGGCTAAGGGTGTGCGTGTTTACTGTCGGGTGTGGGTGTGGTTATTGTTAGCTGAGGGTGTGTGTGTTTACTGTCGGGTGTGTGGGTGAGTGTGGTTATTGTCGGGTGTGTGTGGTTATTGTTGTCTGAGGATGGGTCTGGTTATTGTCGGGGGAGGTGCGTGGGTAAGGTTATTGTTGTCTGGGGGAGGGAGTGGTTATTGTCGGGGTTTGTGGGTTGTATGGTTATTGTTAGCTGAGGGAGGGGTTATTGTCTTGGGTGTGGGTTGTATGGTTACTGTTAGCTGAGGGAGGGGTTATTGTCTGGGGTGTGGGTTGTATGGTTATTGTTAGCTGAGGGAGTGGTTATTGTCGGGGTTTGTGGGTTGTATGGTTACTGTTAGCTGAGGGAGGGGTTATTGTCTTGGGTGTGGGTTGTATGGTTACTGTTAGCTGAGGGAGGGGTTATTGTCTTGGGTGTGGGTTGTATGGTTACTGTTAGCTGAGGGAGGGGTTATTGTCTTGGGTGTGGGTTGTATGGTTACTGTTAGCTGAGGGAGGGGTTATTGTCGGGGTTTGTAGGTTGTATGGTTACTGTTAGCTGAGGGAGGGGTTATTGTCTTGGATGTGGGTTGTATGGTTACTGTTAGCTGAGGGAGTGGTTATTGTCGGGGTTTGTAGGTTGTATGGTTACTGTTAGCTGAGGGAGGGGTTATTGTCTTGGGTGTGGGTTGTATGGTTACTGTTAGCTGAGGGAGGGGTTATTGTCGCGGTTTGTAGGTTGTATGGTTATTGTTAGCTGAGGGAGGGGTTATAGTCTTGGGTGTGGGTTGTGGTTATTGTTGAATTGAGCGTGTGAGGGATTACTTGAGGGTAGAAGACGGGTTGGAGTTACTTTGAGGGAGAGCGTTGGTTGCGTACATTAATTGTAGCAATGTGAATATTACTGGGACAACAAACCATTTCTACCATACTATCCCCACTTATCCTAGCCGCCAGCAACCTACGCTCTCTTTGAACTGCAAAAGTTAAGGAAATATACTTATATATATATGCTATATGTTAACTAACTATAGGTTCACTATGCTGTAGGTTAACTAACCGCTTCATGTTAACCATGTATATGTTTGTAGGGAGGACGGAAGGAGGAGAGAAGCAGGACTGGGATTTATTTTGAAATAATATTTTTGAGTCACTACATCAAGACATCGTATAATGTTATCATTGAAAGGATAAACCCAACATTGTTTCCAAGGGTGACCAGTGAACAATGCTTGTCCCGTATTTCAGTTATATCAAGGCGTGTCAGCTTGATGTTCAGCAACGCCCATACTGACGCAGGTCGCAGACATTTAAAGATTATTAGGTTAAACCCCTCCCGTAAGTCTTAAATGATGTGGGTTTACCACAATCGCAGTCTTACGGCAGTTAAGCTCAGAGTTATTCAGAGTTATTAAACCGCAGTGTGTCCAGTGGCCTTTTCGTTCACGTTCTTATACTAACACGTCGTGACATACCAGAAGTTTCTAGGTAAACGTCTAAGACCAGGCTTTCTTCCCACATAAGCTGAGACGCCACGAGTAAATTTAACTGGAATACTGTTCAAAGCGGCTTTAAACCCAACTCACTCACATACTGGAGACATACAAATGGCGTTTAATGCCGGGGTGGTGTTTGTGTGGGGAGGTGGGGGTGGGGGTAGGTGGTTTTCGGGGAGGGTGTGTGTGCTATGCTCCACGTAATGGTACCCATATCCCATTAAATCATATCGATATTCATAAAGGGTTAAAATTAGCAGACAACACTAGGTTTTGAAACAGTTGAACCAGAGCTAAGAGTAATGCTAATCGGTCCCGATCGTTTCCCTTGTAAACCCGATGACTCCCTGGATTGTACGGAGACGTGTGGAAACAGCTTGAAGTGACTGCTCTAGTTGATGTAACGTCAGACACATCATGATGACGTACGTAATGGCTGCTGATCATGTATAGCTCGCCCGCCAGATATAGCCGCTGATTCAGCCATGAGTCAGTCACAATCGATACAAAGGTAGCAAATCACTTATAAATTAACTCGCATTATTTCTTGATCTCATATCTTCTGTTCTGTGCCGGCTCTACCTTACACGTCATATCGCTGCGCAGATCTGGCTGTCACGTGACACTAGTCCGACAGAGGGCGTTCGTACTGTCATGTGACAATTGTCACGTGCTCTTCCTTTGTCAACCCCACAAAGATGGCTTCAGTTTAAACCATCAACAATCCCAACAGGACAAAGCAGGATTCTTTTTAGTTACTGTAACAATTAAAACCTGTACTTATGAATTATTTAGATTGCACGTTTTTACCTTTTCTTGGACATAAATTATTATTTTGAAGATAAAAATGACGTAAATGGACGTATGTTTGATAAGCTTTTCTCTTAATGTTTTCTTCGAAAGGCAATACGAGAGGTCCATAATATTAGTCTAACGATGTGCAGAGTTGCGCCCCTTGCCTTCAGGGACCTCTTAGCTGTGTGTTCGAATCCCTTTCTCGACCCGATGATAAGCCGTAGTCGGTCAGCACATTATCTCTTGGTTTTCATTTAGATAGTAAACGCATGATTTTTGGCGTTTCTCTTTATTAAATTGACGTCACGCCAATATATCTTCCAGAACTAAAACACTGTTCAACGCCTTATTTCCAAAGAACCTGCTTTAAACTTCCCACTAATTTATATTGATCTTCAGGGTGTTTTGAGCGAACATTTGTGATGACCGAATGTACTGATAGCTCAAAGATGATTATCAACCCCTAACGTTGGAGATGATGAGATTTGATTTCTGTTCAAGGCTAGGGAACAATTAAAATAATTTTAAAAAATGACAGTGTGTTTTATCTGACATGGTTTAAGGCTCGGCACGATTCAGAAACACGATATGTTAAACATTACAACAAAAACAAAAGGGGTAATCGCCGGGTTCACCTTGTTTCGATATAAACTGTGTACACTACCAGCAGAAATGCCAGGGGTGAGCCCTATAATAGATACGTCAGGATATTCGCTTACATAACTACGGGTCTCAGAATGGCTGAAGATAAATGGCGACATCGACTGCCAAAAGCTCGTTGTTGGACGAATTGGCTCCGAATACAATTTCATATTCCTCGAAATCAGTCCTACATCCGGGCATTAATGGTGTCCATTTCTGTCGACGTCCCGTATTATAGTACACAGATTGTAGATATACGCTGTAATACGAATAATTGGAAAATTATAAAGGACATAATAGAAGGTTGTTTTCCTTACTCATAACCCGACTGGCGAAGGGCTGTTGGGATCAATATAGTCCAGTGCCCCGCGGGGATTCCGGGTTAGAGTTGGTCTAAACAAACCTATGCTGGTCGTAAGAGGCGAACAAATGGATCCCGTGGTCAGGCTCAGTGACTTGGTGTAACGTGTAGACGTACCGGTCTAAACACACCTATGCTGGTCGTAGAAGCGAACAAATGGATCCCGTGGTCAGACTCAGTGACTTGGTGTAACATGTAGACGTACCGGTCTAAACAAACCTATGCTGGTCGTAGAAGCGAACAAATGGATCCCGTGGTCAGGCTCAGTGACTTGGTGTAACGTGTAGACGTACCGGTCTAAACAAACCTATGCTGGTCGTAAGAGGCGAACAAATGGATCCCGTGGTCAGGCTCAGTGACTTGGTGTAACATGTAGACGTACC